GGATCATATAGTGCCTTCGCTATCTTTTGGGATTTTGTTTCTTGTTTGAGAAGGGCTATGATCTCTTCTTTTAATATATGGACCATATTACTAACATGCAGTCAAATGTGATACTCCACAAACCCCTAGCCAGTTCAGATATTCAAGTGTTCCAGCTCAAATACACCTGTGCAACTAATGAAGCCCTTAATTAATTAAGTGTGCTCTAGACATCACTTGTTATGCATATTTGTGCTGTTGTGAGGGATTCTATACAGGGGGTTGAATAATTCTGAGACTGGAGAAGTCATTACAAGTTGTATTTTTAGTGGAATTTGTGTTGAGCTATTTCAATTGCTTTTGTTTGATATATCAGTAGTGGTATTATATAACATTAAGTACCTAGAGTCACTATATGAAATATATTATTCAGTGAAAACCATCAGCAATATATATAAGCTATGTCAATACAGTCACATTTTATATTTGCTTTAATAGGCCATTATTAAGAGTCTCATAAGAAGATTTTCCACAATGTAGCTGTTACGTTTATAAACATAATTATTTACAATAAAACAGAAAGAAAAAAAATTACATTCCTGAGGCTCGACATGGGGCATCAAAAGATCACAATCTTTGTTGTCTTATAGAATATCTATTTGTCCAGGGTAACCATAGTTTACCCAAGTTCCTAGTACCAAAGAAGCGGTTAGATTCCATCCTATGCTGATAATCTTTTTGCTCCATAATATTATGCCAAGATAAAGGGATGGACGATTTCCAAGCCCTAGCTATGCATATTTTAATGTCAAAAAAATTATGGGTCAGAAGGTATTTTTGATATTGGTCTTCTGAGGGAAAACCAATATTAAAAAGGAAAAGTTGAGGGCTAATTTCTTAGCCCTCTTAAAGATAGAATTAACAAGATCAAGCATTTGGATTTTAATATTATTAATCCCCTGATAGTCCTACCAGATATGCTATATAGTGCCCTCCTCATGTCCACATCTCCAGCAGTTCCTAGAAAAGGCAGATGATATTTTTAAAAAGTCTAGCCGGTACCATATACCATCTGTATATTATCTTTAGATGTGTTTCGTAAAGAGAGACAAACGTATACAACGTTTTACTAGGAGTGTAGCTTTAGTCCATTCTGAAAGTGGGGAGGATTCCCCATTATCTCGTTCCCATTTAATAAAGCAGGAAGCATGGGAATCTTGTTCCCTTGATTCTAGCAATTTAATAAATCTAGAAATCCCTCCCTTATTTTTATATAATGCTATAAGAGGGCTACAATTATGGTCCTTAAGTATAATTCTAGATAATAGAAAAATTTTAATCTCTTAGTATTGAAAAAGATCTCTGGGGGGAAGATAATATTTGGCTTGCATTTGTGTAAATTGGATGGGTTTAGATCTATCCCATAAATCAGAGATCTACAGTATGCCTAGGTGTATCCAGGGTTGAACATTTATGTTATCTATTACATGTTGTATGACTATTAATGGAACCCCATATAGTAATTTGTCCTCCAGTTTTGATTTTTTTATTTAAGATTTTTGAGGTATTAATCATTTCTATCAATATTTTCTTGGAGAAATGCTTGGTGTCCAATTCACCTAGTTTCAAAATACCCATCCAAAAGAGAGCAGACAACTTATATCTGGAGCTATCCTCCTGTTCTAGAGTCAGCCATGATTGATTTCCTTGGTCCATACCTAGCCACTGTAAAAGGTGAGTTGCCATACACGCTTCATGGATTTTATCAACATCTGGAAATGCTATTCCTCCCTTTTGAAAACCCTTATGAAGGGTATCAAATGTTATCCTTGGTGGTTTGTTAGTGCAAATATATTTAGAAATCAGATTTTGAAAGTGGTTAAGAGTACCTTTCCCCACTCTATAGGGAATCGCCCTAAGATAGTATACAAGTTGACAAGTTTAGGTATCAGGAATGCTTTAATCATGTTTAATCTTCCTATCCATGAAGACTCAATCTTGCTCCATTTATCCACCTTTTGTTGCAAATCTTTTAATAAATAGGCATAATTAATTTGTGTCATTCAGTTGATATCAAAAGATATTTTAATCCCCAAGTAGCCAATATTATCCAATATTACAGTCAGAAGGTCTTTCTGAGCCTCAGACAGAAAGGAGGCTAAGATTTGCGGGGTTTTTTCATATTAACCTTCTAGTTAGAGCAACTACTATAAAAAGAAATAACATCTAATACCAATGGGATTGAAACCATCAGATCCATCAAAATAAGAAGAACATCATCTGCAAAGAGGGAAATCTTGATTTTCCCATTGTAAGATTTAACCCCCTTTACATTAGTATTCTATTTGATCAAAGGTTCAGTTGTGAGGATATATAACAGGGGAGCCAAAGGGCAGCCCTGTCTAGTACCATTTTTAACCTCAAAGAGGTCGGACTCAACAAAGGAGTTAACTATTTTAGCTGTGGAGTTCCTATATCACAGCATAGTTTTATATCTGAACTGTCCCTCTAGGCCAAACTGACCCATGACAGAATCCAGGAATCTCCAATTGACTCTATCAAAGGCCTTCTCAGCATCAAAAATAAGCAGCAGTGAGTAGAGTTGAGTGAACCCGAACTGTAAAGTTCGGGTTCGTAACGAACATTAAGTTTTTTAACCCCTTAAGGACACATGACATGTGTGACATGTCATGATTCCTTTTTATTCCAGAAGTTTGGTCCTTAAGGGGTTAAACCCCAGACCCGAAAATGGACATATCACTGTATGTTTGGGTTGGAGTTCGGTGTTTGGAGATTTAATGGCACATTTTTAAAGGCTGCAGGGCAGCCAATCAACAAGCGTTTGACTCGTGTGCCCTTAGAAGACATCACAGCCATGCCTACTAATGGCATGGCTGTGATTGGCCAGTGCAGCATGTGATCCAGCCTCTATATATAAGATGGAGTCGAGTAGCGCCGCACGCACATGAGGTCTTATTAGTGTAGGGAGAGGATGCTGCCGCTGTGAGGGACAGCTTAGGAAAGAATTCTGCAAACTAGTACATTAGTGGGGTGCACTTCATATCTGAGAGTCAAATAGAAGCTTCAAATACTGCGGTTACATCTGAGTTTTAAAAAGTAAATTTTTTTTGGTGCTAAATAGTACATTAGTAAGGAGGGAACTTTATATCTGAGAGTCAAATAGAAGCGTCAAATACAGCTGTCACATTGCAGTTTTAAAACTTAATTTTTTGTGTGCTAAACTGCTAAATAGTATTTTAGTGGGGTGCACTTCATATCTGAGAGTCAAATAGAAGCATCAAATAGTGCGCTTACAGCGCAGTTGTAAACATTCTAATTGTTTTGGTGCTAAACTGCTAAATAGTACATTTTGGGGCCTGCTCTTCACATCTGAGAGTCAAATCGAGGCGTCTAATAGTGTGCTTACAGCGCAGTGGTAAACATTCTTGTTTTCTGGTTGCTAATCTGCTAAATAGTACATTTTGGGGCCTGCTCTTCATATATGAGAGTCAAATCGAAGCGTAACTTTGATTAGAATTTACTACATCGGTCACGTGTAATATTGTTTCACACCTACAACACTTGTTACACAGATCTAAGTGATTGAAAACAGATTGATATTTTCTACACTAGACACTAGCAGATAACAAGCTGCTATATTTAAACCAGTGATCAATAGATAAGAGGTACTTCAACAATATTGTAATTCTGGGGCAATACCCTCACAAGTCAAACTGAGAGGTCAGTTTATAGGGAAAAATGTTGCCTTGATACAATTCTAAAACAATTTCCATATGTCCTTTACATGCTGGAAAAACACAGGTGCCAACTGCTGTGGCTTTCTGCAGTGTGCATACCGGCAAGAAGGGCAGGGTTAAGGAGTGGGTGGAAGATGATGTGTGCTAATCTGATAAATAGTAAATTTTGGGGCCTGCTCTTCATATCTGAGAGTCAAATCGAAGCGTCAAATAGTGTGCTTACAGCGCAGTTGTAAACATTATTATTTTCTGGGTGTTAATCTGCTAAATAGTAAATTTTGGGGCCTGCTCTTTATATCTGAGAGTCAAATAGAAGCGTCTAATAGTGTGCTAACTGTGCAGTTGTACACATTCTAATTGTTTTACTGCTAATCTGCTGCTTACATTGGTGTTTTAAAAAGTAAAATTTTTTTGTATTTGTTTTTTGGTACTAAATAGTATATTTGGGGTGTTCACTTCATATCTGAGAGTCAAATCGAAGCGTAACTTTGATTAGAATTTACTACATCGGTCACTTGTAATATTGTTACACACCTACAACACTTGTTACACAGATCTAAGTGATAGAAAACAGATTGATATTTTCTACACTAGAAACTACCAGATAACAAGCTGTTATAGTTAAACCAGTGATCAATAGCTAAGAGGTACTTCAACAATATTGTAATTCTGGGGCAATACCCTCACAAGTCAAATTGAGAGGTCAGTTTATAGGGAAAACTGTTGCCTGGATGCAATTCTACGACCAGGATCCAGTATGCCTGATGTAGAAGTTAGGAGTCACAGTGTGGAATGGATTAGTGGGGTCTGGTGCAGGGTAACCACACGCCCCCTGGTGTTGAGCATCAGTGTTTGTGTTGCCACACACCAGAACCCTGATGCAGCTTCAGTAAAAAGAGTACTGAATACCAGAAGCCATCACCAGACTGATCCGCAACTTGAAACAGGATGTGACATTCACTGTAGCAGCTGTGCGCGCTTTTGGCGTTCTCACCCTGCTGCTGCTCACCTGTCTGCACTGCAGCGTAACTTTGGCCTTGCCGCTCACTGCCTCATATGCATCATGCCCACAAGGTGGAACTCCACTTTGCACATGCTGGAGAGACTGTTTGAGCAGCAGCAGGCGATAGTGAAGTTTCATCTGCAGCACGCACAGGTCAGTGGCTCTGCACCAGACTTTTCTCCAACTGATCAGAGTTAAAGGATTTCAAGTGGACTCATTACAATTACAGGGCCTCTAAAGAGTTCTGTATTGTTATTTGTCGTCACAACCTTCCCGCGTCAGGAGTGGGTCGTTTGCGCGCCTGCTGCCTTCCTTGTATGTGGTAGCCGTTTGTCAGGGTCCTTGTACGGAATCGAACCCTGATTCTCCGTTACCTGTGGTCACCATGGTAGACACAGTCAATGGCATCGAAAGTTGATATGGATTAACATACGAATGCGTTGTCGCCTTCTCGTTGGGGAGCACATTGAAAAAGTGCTCTAGCATGACGAGCTGGGTGATCTCCTCTAGGAACTTGGCTTGATGGGAGTTGAGGCAGTTCTGGGTGGCCCTTATGATGCCATGGTGTATACCCAGAAATACCAGAAGCCATCACCAGACTGATCCGCAATTTGGAACAGGATGTGACATTCACTGTAGCAGCTTTGTGCGCCTTTGGCGTTCTCACCCTGCTGCTGCTCGCCTGTCTGCGCTGCAGCATAACTTCGGCCTTCCCGCTCACCGCCTCATGAGACGGTGCGAGCAGCAGCAGGCGATAGTGGAGTTTCAGATGCAGCACGCACGAGTCAGTCGCTCTGCGGAACAGTTTTCTTTTTTTGTATGTCCCAATATTTTGGGGGCTACCCCAATTAAAATAAAAAATATATATATATATAAACAGTGCTGGCTTCCTCCTCCTTCTCCACTGCCGCTTCCACCATCACTGCCTCCTCAACCTATGAGTCAGTCGCTGAGTATAAACTATGTACACAATAGTAGAGGCTTGTGAAGGCCTTTTCTCCATGCATCAGGAGTTGAGCATTTCTCCATGCATCAGGACTGCAAGAAATGCACCGCAGGCAGGAATTGTTTATTTTTTTGCATGTCCCAATATTTTGAAGCTACCAAAATTAAAATAAAAAATACATATATATAAACAGTGTTGGCTACCTTCTCCTCCACCGCTGCTTCCACCTACACCGCCACGGTCACCGCCTCCTCAACCTATGGGTCAGTCACTTAGTATAAACTATGTACACAATAGCAAAGGCTTGTGAAGGCCTTTTCTCCATGCATCAGGACTGCAAGAAATGCACCGCAGGCCGCAAATGTTTCTTTTTTTGTATGTCCCAATATTTTGGGGGCTACCCCAATTAAAATAAAAAAATATATATATAAACAGTGTTGGTTACCTCCTCCTTCTCCACCGCTGCTTCCACCTACACCGCCACGGTCTCCACCTCCTCAACCTATGGGTCACTTGGTATAAACTATGTACACAATAGCAGAGGCTTGTGAAGGCCTTTTCTCCATGCATCAGGAGTTGATCTCAGTTTGAACAATGAAAGAGAATACCCTGCACTCTAACCCTCTCTCAAATGGATAATTCTGGTGATCCCCCTGACAGCCATGCTTTAGATTTTGATTTATGTTCTTCCAAAGCTAAAATCAAAGATTCCATCTAGTGGTATTTTATGGCTCAGCTGTATTTTGAATTTTTTTGTTATTTTAAGTGATTTCCCTATCCACATTTGTTTGCAGGGCCCTTGTCCTACTCTTACCCCATTTTACTTCCTTTAGCTGCCCTCTAACCCTTTTCAGGAGTGTTTTAGAGGCATTTTTGTGGCCAAAAGTTTGGGTCCCCATTGACTTCAATGGGGTTCGGGTTCGGGGGCAAGTTTGGAGTCAAGTTTGGTCACGAACCCGGACTTTTTTTCAAAGTTTGGCCGAACCCGTGGACCCGCTTTTATTGTTAACGGTTTAGACATTAATGGCTGTGTGTTGAGTTATTTTGAGGGGAAAGCAAATTTACACTGTTATACAGGCTGTACATTTACTACTTTACATTGTAGCAGAGTGTAATTTCTTCAGTGTTGACACATGAAAACATATAATAAAATATTTGGAAAGAATGGAGTGGTTGTGTTCCTGCACCTGTACAGCCTGGTAAAGTGGTTGAAGAGGCAAGAACTGGTATCTGTATGGAACCCTTAGTATCAGTATTTGTGAGTGTTTGTCAAAGGGGTACAAGAATTACAAAAAAAAAACCATAAAAACACAGAGTGGGAGTTAAATCCGAGTGGAAGTTGGATAGAAGAAGACAGAAGAAGAACAGAAGTAGCATTATTAGTATCACTATTACTATTGTTATTATTTTTTTAAACAACAGGGTCCTGTTCCACAACCCACCATTAGCAGATGTGCCATTGCTTCTGAGAGTTGGAACACCTCGGCCATGAGGACTGCTGCCACTTATGCCACTGCTGCCTCCACCACCACCGCCACCACGATCTCCACTATTAATATTCAGCCTCAGTATAGTGGGATTAGCAGCATGCGCATTACATCAAATTTAACACCAATTTATTTTTTTAACAATCTTATTCATGCTGCAACAACTTGTGATGCACCTTCAACTGGCACTGCAACTCCTTCCACCACAGCTAGTTAATTCATTATCATTTTTTGGAGCCCCTCAAGAATTAACTAAAGGAGAAAACAGCAGTGTCCACTTTGCAAGGATAATGAAAGCAACTCTTTAGTTAGGACTTAGTGCAGAGTACCACTCAATGTCCCCAATGTTTGTTGTTGGTGGTGAAGAGAATTCTGTTTCCCCCACCGCTGTAGAACTACTTGCCCATGAGTATGATGAGCCAGAGAAATTAGAAAAGGAGAGGATAGGCAGCAGCAAAGTTTGTTCTCTGACAACTAGTATGCACTCTCTTCCTACATTTTTTCTACCATCTCCAAGACCAATGGTATCCTTTTTAGAATTACCTCACCTACAACAGACAGTTGACATCAGCTGCATCTGTAGCAGAAGGAAGTGAGTAGAGGGTGAGTGAGGGATCATTTCAAGTCTGTATTACCTATAGAAGAAATAGAACAAGTAAGTACTAGGGCAGATAGCCGTTCTACTGATGATGTATGTGAATGTGTGCAGTTGCCACAACCTACCACTAGTACTGTCTCCTTTACTACTTCCACAACCCTTACACAGAGCAGGGAGATGGTGAGGATCCTGCCAGTAGTCATCAGAGCAAAGTTGGACAGGAACAATGAGACCCCTCATTATCTGATGAATTAAAAAGTAAATATATATATATATGTTTTCTTACTTAGCTGCTACTGGATTGTTTTACTTATTTGTGATACATGTCATATTTTATTTCTAGTATGAGATGGATTGTTTGATTTGTAGTGTGCTACTGTGCCCCTGCTTGTGCTTTTAAACTATGGCTGTCTTCCCTCAGTCATGCACAGTATGTGGCTGCAGTTTACTGTACAAGTGTACTACACTTAGTGTGGCAGGTCTTTTTTAGCATATATTCTAAACAGTGGTGGTCATCTCGTTGTTCACTCACCTGATTATAATAAATAAATAAAAATGAAATTATTCATGTTGCTGCTTCTGCTCCTCCTTTCTTTCAAATGCCACTAATTGTAGTCTTTTGGAACTTGTTACCTCATCTGGTATTAGCTAATAGGGCATGAGCCACTGAGACTATAAATTGAATGGGTGGAAAAGCTTAGTTCTTGTCAGGGTGGGAAGGGTGAGTGAGTTATAAATTGCTCACTCACATTTTCCTTTAATTTTTCGATACAATCCCCTATTTTGAGTTTAGCCTCCTTTTTAAATTGCAAAAAAGCAACCGAAAAAATTGACTAAAGGGTCTAGCAAACGTTAGCCCCGTAGTCAAAAAGTGGACTGGAAGGGTAAGGAAGGGGCATAACCCCATATATAATTCAAGAAGAAGAAAAGAAAACGTACCGCAAAACTAATGCGGCTATTACCCAAACAGCAAAATATAGCTCAAAAAGAGGGAGAGCAATTATAATGATCTATTGAATTTAATCTTTATTGCGTCATACGACATTAAAAGAGTAGAAAAGTGAAAAAAATAAACGTGCACAGTGTGTGTGTGTGATGTTTAAAAAGGAAAAACATAATGGTTTATATTCGTAAAAGTGTGGACTTTTACCTAAAGAAGCAATACTATTACATATAGATAGATGTCTTCTTGCATAATACTTCATACACTTGCATACACTAGACTAGTGTGTGCAAGCACAGTACACTGTTGTACTAAACAAGGTCACTATAGGACCCACGATTAGACACTTAGGTTAGTACCAAAAAGAAAGCTAGATACTTTGCGCTGATGTGCAGTAAAAACATGTATACATGTAGCTCAAAGGAAGCCCAGATTGATATGTAAAATAAGGTTAACCATGTCTAAATCCAAATAGAGTGTTACCACTATAACACAACAAGATATCTTATAAAAGGAAAAAAACATTCCGAGCAGTTAAATGTGATTGCTGATACTAAAGCCTGTCAATAGAAAGAATGTTGCTATAAATAAATGATACATACAAAGTATCAGTCAAAAACAGAAATGTGTATACTGGCAAGGTTGCATAAGGGGGGAAAACTAAATGTGTATGGATATGGTGTATATATACTAAAGGGTCCCAAATCATGTACACAATATGGAGGTCAAAAGCCCATATGTACAGAGGGCCCCCCCAAAGGAGAAATAAAACCACATATGTATATATGTAATATGTAATAAGGGGTCCTAAGTAGTCTGAACAGTGTAAAAATTACACAAAAGCCAAACACCCATATACACAAGTAGCCCCCCACAAAAACAGTCTCAGAGTGCCCGGGAAACAAAAAGATCAAAATAGTTTCCCAATTAGGCACTCTGTACTGTACCTCAAGTTATAGTGTAACAAACTAGGGATATGCTGGCCAGTACAATCATCTGGTACAACACAAAATATAGTAAAATTAGTGTACATAAAGTAAAGCTTTTAAGTATTCAAAGTTACTCCATTAGGTTCCCTATTAAAAAAGCCAGCGGCTAGAAAGCATCATGACCCAGCTCGACGCATTTCGGCGCTTAATTGCGCCTTTTTCAAGAGCAAAAAACCTCGAGTCCAAACCAGTGTGTATTAAGTAGCCCAAAACACCGCCCCCGGGGACGTCATACAGCCAATCACGATGCCGTACAGGCGAGAGTAAATGGAAGTGCCAGTGTCCATCAAATGTCAGTGGGCGGCAAACCCGTAAAAGGTAAAGCCATCCCACTCAATCGGCAACAGCCAATCGCTACCGGCGCTCCTCTATTATGGGCGTAAATATGCAAATGAACACATAAACGGTGGGCGGTGAGAAAAGACACACCGTCCTACCATATTAGTGACCGCTGAACAAGACACTCATCTGGCTTGTGGGCGTGATATATTTAAATCGCGCAAAAAAGCAGATACCATATCTTAGAGAGTTAGA